CACGCTCTGTTAGAATCTCGAAGGCAAACTCTAGAGGACATATATGCAAGGGATATCAATTTGTCTGTCAAGCTCGTGAGGGTGGAGACCCTAGAGGAGAGAGTTGCTGCCTTGTTTGCTTCTGGAGATGCGTCGGGTAGTAGTTTAGAAGATGATGAGAATGGAGGCGGGATTCCCCGAGGGGAAGAGGCCGTCGAAGGTTCTAGGACTGTAGCCGGAACCGTTGGGGCACAACCTCCGACGGAGTCGTCAAAGATGCAGGCTTGATGATAGATTGGGGTTCTGTTTGGCCCCTTCTTTGTAAGGATTTTTCGAAAGCCTTGTAAACGTACCTCTGTGAGCCATATGTATCACAGGCTTTTTGTTTTTTATCATTTCTTTTCTCCTTTGCCTTTTGAGAATAACATGCGATACTTTTGATAATCGATTCGAGATCTTAGACCTTGGGTTACACCCTCAGGTTTTTTCTATTGCTGAGCGGCCCGTGATGGTCGAAAGTCAGTCCCTGAGTGTTCTCGGGTTAGACCTATCTTTTATACGTTGGGTCATTGTGTCCTTCGATTTTAGCGTTGGCAGTAGTGGCTCTTACACGTTTGGTCGGTGCGACCTTTAATTTTAGTGCTGGAGATAGTGGCTCTTATGCTTTTTCTCTTAGGCATATTTAGTTAACTATTTTGGGTTCAGTCTCCGAATCGGGTTTCGACTCGAGCTCATTCGACCTTCAAGTTTTTGAATTTAAAGCTAGCCCTTAGGCTCTTACGCGTTGGGTCAGTGCGACCTTTTGTGTGGGCTGGCGACAATGGCTCTTACGCCTTGGGTCGATGCGACCTTTTATGTGGGCTGACGACAATGGCTCTTATGCCTTGGGTCGATATGACCTCTAATATAGGCTTTATTTTTCCCTCGTTAAGGACTTTTTGAAATAATGTTTGCCTGACTCTTCAACGGTTTAATAAAAAACCTCGATTGTAAGTCATTATATGGCGATGATCAAGCACCTCGGAAGGTTTGGCTCGGAGGCTGAGTATCTCGAAGCCAGTGTTTAGGAGCTTACATGGTCGAAGTTCTTTTGCCTATGTCGAGGGTAGCCTATTTAACCGGTTCTGTTCGAAGTATATTCGAAGTAATTGAAGGCCTGTGATTTTATAGCGACATTCGGGCGTCCCCGAGTCGCATTAGTTTGGCTGGTATAGCCTTGTGACCGTAGTCATTTGTGTTTGTCCAGAGCCTTTTAGTGTCGAGTGAAATAGTTTATACGTCTATATCGAGGGTATGCCTTTTTAGGGGTCTTACAAGTTCGATATATAGCCTAAACTTTGAGATCGAGTTTATGTCTTTAGTAAGGTCTTACAAGTTTTACATGCCTTTGAGGTCTTACAGTTTTGGATACTTGGTACAAGTATGGTTCATGTGTTGCTTGAGGTCTTACAGATATTGCCACTTGGTACAAGTGTGGTTTATGCCTTGCTTGAGGTCTTACAGATATTGTTGTTCCCTTATATAGGTCTTACGAGACCGAGGCTGCCCGCAAGTGGTCTTATGGCCTTGGGTTTTGATAAGTCGATGGAGATGGTGATTGACGGCAGTCCTTGAGTCATTGAGGGTTTCTTGACTCGGGAGCCATTACTTGTAAGCTTGGTATTGCCTCATTGAGGTCTTACGATTTCGGAATTTCTGATCCGGAGGTCATATGGCATTGAGTTTTTGACGCCAGTCCCCGAGTGTTTGGGATGTTTTTTTGGCTCTAGAGCTATTTTGTGCTCTTGTTGTTGCCTCATTGAGGGCTTACGAGCTTGAAGTGCGAATCGGGGGCTACATTATTGTGAGTTATTGACGTCAGTCCCCGAGTGTTCGGGACGTTTTTGACAGAGAAGCTGTTTTTTGCAAAAATTCCGATTTCCTTTGATTACTTGGTACAAATATACATGTTTTTGTTGTTATGGGTTCAGTTGTTCTATGCGGACACGATTTATTCAACCGTTTGGCTCGGTACATTATTTTCCTATCGAGAACCCACTTAGCGCATCTTGGCTTCTCCGAGTATGTGACCTTCCGGGGGAATGCCCCTCAGTATTTGAGGTTGATTACGAAAGAAACCTTGAATACTTGTTGGCTCTCCCTTAGGTAGCATAAATATGTTGCCTTGTTAAAAACCTTGTCGGTAAAACCCTTCTAGGGACAAAATCCGGTTGAAGGAAAAGAGTGCAACGCATGCCTTAGCAGTAGTATCGTTTCAGCATTGATATGTTCCAATTGTTTAGAAGTTGCTCGCCTTCCATGGTACCGAGCTTGTAGGACTGATGTTTTAAGCGTCAATACCACACAAGAGGGGGTGATTTGTGTGGTACCCAATTTTCGTTATAGAAGAACTTGGTTCTTCTAGGTGTTCTAACTACTACTGTTTGCAGAATAATAAGTACATAAAATAAAGAACACAAAGATTTTTACGTGGAAAACACCTGGCTCAAAAGGTGAAAAAACCACGACCTACTACCCAGTAGGATTTTTCCAAACTTCCACTAAAATTACTAAGCCAAAACAGCATTTACAAAAACTCTTTGTAAACCTAAGGATTAACTCTAGTCCCGCTGTGGCACACAACCTCAATTGTTGTGACAACTTCAAGTTAGCTATAACTTGAACACTCTAGGTACCTAATACAATTGCTTCTATGAAAGCTGAAAGGTACAACTTTAAACTACCTACTACAATTGAACTAGAGTAAAAGATAGACACAATGGAACCGGTTCTTCTATCTCGTTCAAGTAGCTTCAGGAGTGCACACTCAAATCATACATAAATTGCTTGCAAAATCGCCTTGCTTTTTTGCTCTCAATTTAGTTTCACTTATGCGTATGTGTAATACCTGTAAAAGAGAACAATCACTGTCATTTACTAGGTTAGTAATCAGAGTTTGATCGGAACTCAATTGCTGAACTTCTATCGTAGAAGAGTTCATGATGATCTCAAACTCTAACACTATATTTATCATGGATCGTGTTCTCTTCATATAAGGAGAAATTCTCCCTTATCTAAGATGCAACCTTTTTGATCAGATCAGGAGATATTACTGCTTGATCAGTAGGACTTATCTCCTTCACGTGCATCTCACATGCATAGATTGATCATGACTGTGCTTTACAAGATGGACCTGGTCTATGATTGAGTTCATTTGTCATTCTTCAAAACTTCACATGTTCTTGGGTCAACAAATTCTCCCTTTTGATGATGATAAACTCTGTGCTTTTTACTGATTTGAATCATGTAAGAACTCAGGTTAACCATCAATACTAAACTTAGAAAATTCACTTATCATCAAGGACCAGGTTAATTAGGTTATAAATATCACTTATTTTCAGAATGTGTAAAGCACAATATCTCTTCCCCCTTTTGGCATCATCGAAAAGTTGCATACGAAGTGTGATACCTAGATTTTAATAAGTACTCATGGCCATTGTGGCAATTGCAAGTGCAATCATGGTGCAATCATCAGTAATCAAACAAACATATTTAAGCTATCAAGGACAGATTAATCATTGAATAAGAGAAAACATCAGTTATCATTGATAGAGATATGTTGCCACCTACAATCCACAAAAAGAAATAAAAACATTCAAACCATGATCAAAAAAACAGAAAAATCCCTAATCTGGGTCACTGGGGGTACTGAACAAGTTCAGGAGACAGAAGCTAGGAATCCTAAGGCTTGGAGGAACTGGAGGGTTGGGTTTGAGTTTGGAGAAGATTCAGCATGTTCTGAAGAATTCCATCATTCTTCTCATTTTCTTTGGCAAGCTCAGTTCTAAGACCTTCTCTCTCAATTTCCACTTCAATCACACGAGCCTTGAGCCTAGCAATTTCAGCATCCTTAGCTGCAGATTCCTGAACTAGAGTCCTAACTTTGCTGTTGATGGGTGTCTTTTGGGATGAACTAGGTTCAATGGGGATGGCATTAACTGAATAGTCACAGGCAAGAAGAGTTTTGATGCCAAAGTGTTCCTTGCTCGAAGCCATTTCCCATTTCTTTAGAGGCACATTTAGCCTGTCCAGAACTGTGGTCAGAATGAAGCCATATGGAGTAGCATGAGCTTTGGAGCCATTTATGACCCTGTCTAGCAGTTTGATAATGAAGGCTGGTCAGTTGATTTGCTTTCCTCTCTCCAGGCACTCCATAAGAACCGGATCCATGTAGTTATCATTGTGCCTTCTCTCCAGTCTGGGCAATAAGCATTTGTTGACAAATTCAAACACAACCTTGTGCACAGGCCTCATTTCACCTTTCTGCACAGCCCTGGCTTCAGTCACCTCTTCTGAATCATGAAACCTTTTGATGATTTCAAGGGCGGTAGGGAAGGAGTCCAGGCATGGCCACCTTTGCCTAGTATAGTCATCAAACCCTTCAGAGGGTATGTCCAGGATCTCTCCCAATTTCTCTGCATCAAACTGCACTTGAACTCCTTTCACCAGGCAACTAACGACTCCATCCTTAACAGCAGTACTGGCCATAAATTCAATCAGCTCATTTCTCCCTAGCCTACCATCCATCTGAAGGACCATGTCCTTCCATCCTTGAGCAGCTAAAGCATCTACCAATCTCATCATTCCTAGTTCCACCAGGTCCTTCAACAGTCTACCCTTTAAAATCTTTCTTCTGCCAAAAATGGCAAGCTTGTCTTGTTCCTTCTCAGAATTATTTTCTTTTTCTTCTCCACTTCAGGCATCATCTTAGAAACTTTTGATTGTTTGGTTTTCACTGCAGATATTGTCCTCTTGGCTAGTGTGGGTTCAGCAGCCATAGGCACAGAGGAAAACTTCTTGGAAGAAGTCTTGGGCATTTTAGGCTTGGGTGTAGGAACCTCCACTGCTGTACCCCTTTCTTGATAGACTAGTTCCATCTCCTCTTCCACAACAGCCTCTGAGGATTCTGCAATCTTTCCCTTTCCGTTATCTTTTTTCTTTTTCTCACTTTCTTCTAAGGTCATTTGTAGATCAGCTTCACTCTATGTCACCCTGCTTCTTGTGGCTCTACCCCTTGGCAATGAGGAGGTAGTAGGTGTTGGAGATGAAGCCTTTTTTTTCTTGGAAGGCTTAGGAATATTTGGGGTTTCTGTTGTGGGAGTTCTGCGTTTCTTTGGGTCATAGCTTGCCCCAACCTTTTTCAGTAGATCAGTTAGGGTCTCTTCAGTGGATGAAACAGGATCATCTCTCTGTGTGCTCAGATGAACCAACCCCTCAGCAGCTTCCCCAAAACCACTTCCCCCTGACTTCATGCCACTCTCTTCTACCCTTTCATGTTCAACCCCACAGATGGCAGGCACTATAATTTTCCCAATTCCCCTCTCTTCACCACATGCACCCTCTCTCTTTTTCTTTTTCAAAATTCTTTTTACCTCCACTCCTACGTTTCTCAAGCACTTCAACATCTCTAATTGGTCCAACCAGAACAAACCTAGTCTCTAGGTTTTCAATCACAGATGAACTTACCTCAGAAGGAGATTCTTGAATCTTTTCAGAGTCAAAAAACTCATGTCCTTCCCCCTCAGTTGCGGATTGATAGGATTCAGACTCAGAGCTGGAGTTAGAATTTGGAGCTTGGCTTTCTTTCACTTGGCTTGCTTTCAACCTTTCATTTAAAGCCTTCCTCAGAGCCCCAGATGATACAGTCTTTCGAGCAAGCATTTTCACCCTTAGTAGTCTAGGTTTTGGGGATACACTGGGTGGAGTAGATGAGGATGAATTTGAGGGAGATGGTGGTGGAGGAGTTCCAGGGTTTTCTTGTGGGTTAGACATGATTGTTGGTTTCTTGAAAGAATATGGGAATTTTGGAGAAGAGGGAAAGTGAAAGTGAAGAAAAGTTTTTGAGGGTTTGGAGTTATGATGAAGGCTGTAGAAAAGATGTGTATTTAAAGGAATTACACATTTAATAAGTAACGGCATCCTTTTGCAGTGGTCAAATAAGAGTCTAATCAACCTGAAATTCCAGATTTTGAATGATCTATTTGGCTCCCCTAGATATTAGGCAAGAATTAGGGTTTAGAGTTCTAGGTGGACGGAACTGGTTCAATGCTAACGGATAGAATTTTCTAGGAATTTGACAAGTATAGGACTTCTGCTCATGATTGAATTATTAATCTTTCTAATTGTATAGAGTATAGAAAACATACTTGAGCTTTCATATGAACTCATACTGATGAATCAGGTTCTTCATTTAGAACTCTCTTGAACATGCCTCAAATGCCATAATAGAGAAAATTGTGTAAGAGATCAGTGAGTCATAGACACACATGTCACATGAGTATACTAATTAAAGTATGAAGCTGAGTAAGAATTAATCTAGATATTTACACAAGTTCAGAATTCCTAGCCAAAAAATATTATTTTTTTCATATTTATTTTTTTGTGCATTCTGAGCTAGACCTATTAGGTGATCTTCATCATCCCTAATTCCAACTTGCTCCTCTTAAAGTTTTCTCTACTCAGTAATTTAGTGAAGATGTCAGCAATTTGCTTATTAGTAGCACAAATTCTATGGAGATCAATCCTTTCTCATAGTTATCTCTTAAGAAGTGGTGTCTAACATCTATGTGCTTAGTCCTCTTATTATGAACAGGGTTATTTGTCATACTTATAGCACTAGTGTTATCACAAAATATAGGAATACAACTAACTTCAATGCCAAAATCTATCAGCTGCTATTTGATCCATAACAATTGAGCACAATAAGATGCAGCAGCAACATATTCAGCCTTAGCAGTGGATAAGGCCACTGAATTTTGCTTTTTAGTGGCCCAGGATACAAGACATGAACCAAGAAAGTGAGCCATACCTGCGGTGCTTTTCCTATCCACAAGGAAACCGGCATAATCAGCATCAGCATATCCTACTAGATTGAAATTACTACCTTTGGGATATCAAAGACACAAATCAGGGGTGCCTTTCAAGTATCTTAGTATCCTCTTGACAACAGTCAAGTGAGACTCTTTTGGATTGGCATGGAAGCGAGAACAAAGCCCTACACTGAAGACTATGTCAGGTCTGCTAGCAATTAGATACAAGAGTGAACAAATCATACCCCTATACAATTTTTGATCAACTGATGAACCAGGTTCATCAATGTCTAATTTTGTGGCAGTTGCAATGGGGGTGTCTATTTCCTTTGATTCCTCCATTTTAAACTTTTTGATAAGATATTTTACATACTTCTGCTGATGGATCATGGTTCCATTTGGGCTTTGTTTGATCTGTAAGCCTAAGTAGAAGTTAAGCTCACCCATCAAACTCATTTCAAACTCACTCACCATTAATTTTGCAAAATCCTTACTTAGCTTATCAGTGGTGGCCCCAAAGATTATGTCATCAACATATATTTGTACCACAAGGAGATATTTACCTTTTTCCCTTAAGAATAAGGTACTGTTAATTTTACCTCTTTTGTACCCATGTTCAAGCAGAAATTTGGATAGTCCTTTATACCATGCTCTTGGAGCCTGCTTGAGTCCATAGAGAGCTTTGTCCAATTTGTACACTTGCTCAGGACATTTCTTGCTCTCAAACACTGGAGGTTGTTTTACAAACACTTCTTCTTTCAGGTAGCCATTCAGGAAGACACTTTTGACATCCATCTAATGAAGAGTGAATTCCATGTGTGCTGCAAAGGCTATGAGGAGTCTTATTGCCTCTAGTCTTGCAACTGGAGCAAAAGTCTCATCATAATCTATGCCCTCCTCTTAGATGTAACCTTGGACCACCAGTTTTGCCTTGTTTCTTGTAACTGTTCCATCTTCATCAAGTTTATTTCTGAAGACCCATTTTGTACAAATAACTGATCTGTCCTTGGGTCTTGGAACTAGATGCCAAACTTGACTTCTCTCGAACTGATTGAGTTCATCTTGCATTGCATTCACCCAATTTGCATCCTGCAAAGCCTCAACAACATTTTTAGGTTCAATAAGAGATAAAAAGGCATCAAAAGCACACAGATTCTTTAATTGTGATCTAGTTTTGAATCCAGGTGTTGGATCAATGATAATGTTCTTAATAGGATGAGAACTTTGATACTTGTGACATTTCACAACCAACTGGTTTCTGCTAGATGTTTCTCCCATGTTCTGTTGCTGAGGAACATGGTCATGAACAGGTTCTTTTAGGGGGTTTGTTTCAATTCCTCTTTGATCAGTTCCCCCTGTCAGGTTGCCCTGAATGGAAGAACCTGCTCCATCACATGTTCCTTCTTTTGGTGCCACTTTAACTTGTGTTGAGGCTTCAGTCAAATCCTTTACCAATCCAATGGCTTCATCTTCATGTTCTTGTCTCTCAAAAAGAATGTTAGTTTCATCAACACTACATGCACACATTCTTCTACACACAAAGTTCTTTTATTGAGCACTTTATATGCTTTGCTATGTGAAGAATATCCTAAGAATACTCCCTCGTCACTTTTGGGATCAAACTTACCTAGGGAATCTTTTTCATTATTGTGCACAAAGCACTTGCATCCAAAT